AATTAGGCTGTAAATCTTTACTGGTATCTGTAGCTGCCTTTTTTGCACTCAGTGCTGCAATTGCAGCAATGCATGAGGAAAGCTTTACTGAGGACTTTGTTTTGGACTGTGAAATGCTGGCAAGATTTGTTTCGCTTTTTTCAGAATTCAGTTTTCCATCCAGTACCCTGTTTTCGAGAAGCTTCTCAGAAATTACTTTTAGCAATTTGTCCTCCACTTTTTGAGCTTTAAAAGGCTCATAGACACTTAAATTCATGGAGTTTGTCTCTGTCTCTCGTTTAGCAGCTTTATTTTTATCTATGCTACTTGAAACAGGGATCCCAGATTTAATCAAGTTCTCCCCTCCAAGTGCTTTTAGTTTGTCATATTCTGCTGAGACACAGATCCTGCCAAGACATTAGCTTTGAAATTTGCACGCATCTCCTCTTTATCCAGGGGGTCATCCACCTCAATTTTTTCATCATCATCAAACTCTTCAGCACTTGATATTGGGCTAAACTGGTTGAAAGCTGAATCCTTCAGTGTAGTCTCAGCAGCTGACCCATCATCTTTAAGTGAATTCCCTTCATCGTTACTATAACTGTCAAGAGCTGATGATGTTAGAAAGCCATTATGCAAGCCGTTGCCTGTGGAATGATGGCCATCCTTGTCCACTCCTTCGGAAGAATCAATGGTACGCACGTTTTTCACAATGACACTCACACCAACGTCAGATGATGATGGGGCATGAGAATCTTCTGTGTGAGCATTTTGTTTTATGTGGCTTTCATGGTCATCATGTCCAGATTCAATAGCTGCTTTTGGATCAACCATATCTGGTATGTCAAAGGCTGCAAGAAGGTCATCGAAATCTGGGGTCTTCATATCCCCCATGGTCATGGATTTGATTGTAAGTAAATCTGTAAAATAAGCAGAAAGTCATCACCTCAGTATTTGAAGGTCTAATAGCAGTCTTACACAAAACAAGCTTATATTCAAATATGCCATGCAAACAGGCATTACTTCACTTCTAAAGTAGTATTTTCAGAAACTGTACATTACAGAACAGTGTTCCAGTGCAAGTGTACAGTCAGATTATTACACCAAGAGCTACAGCAATCCATCAACCTCAGAGACTGTAACCCAGTCATTTTGATATAAGCATGAATTTCTCTTCAGTGACTTTCTTCCTGTCCCCTCTCCTACACTCCCTCCTCCCCTCTCCAACATAAACTACCATTACAAGAAGTTACCTAGGTTGGCATGAAAATAACGTGAGGCAAGTGCAAGCCCTCCCACATCTAGATTTTCCTTAACATTACCATCTTCAAGAAGGCTCTTGACAAATGTGTTCCTACCAACAGTTTAACACATGGCACTGTTTTCTATAAATTAAATTGCTTTGTAAGAATTATGGAATAAGTGCCTGATAGAAACACCAGTTTCATGTCT